CCGTGCTAAGGGTCCTGATGCACAGGGACCTGAGTTACACCCGCAGCCCCTTAATGTTTGAGCTCATTGGAATTACATCAGTCCTGTCAAATGGCAATCATTCGCCATTCTAGACACAGGACAGTCTGGACGTGATTATCCTGTAATTGACTAAAAATAGTCTTTAAACCTACTTGAACGTATTTTAAAAGTCAATATATGGAGTACAGAATAAACTCGTGTCATTTTTCTGCCGAAAAAGTTTGCTTGGAGTAAATCTTTACTTCCTCCCTGTTGCAAGGCAAACAGTCCTCCTACCGCTCCCAAGAAGCAAGAAAAATTGTTTTCACATTATTAATAAGAGTGCTTAGCACCTTCTGGACAGAAGTCGGGTAGCCTCCAGCAGCAGCCCGCAGCCTAAGCACCGAGGGCGCGACCGCGGAGCTTCCCGCCGTGAGCCCCGCCCAGCCTTTCCCCGCCCCGCCCCGCCCCCGCCGAAAGCGCAAGGCCCCGCCCCCATTGGCCTCTGGGCGGGGACCCGAGGCGCGGCGCCAGCGTTCAGGCTGGGCGGACGGCCGGTTCGGCAGAGCGGTTGTCTCAGAGCCCAAGTCACACCCGTCTCTGGCCGGGAACTAAAGCCCCAGCCCACGTGGCGGCGGCTGGAGCACTCCGGCGTAGCGAGGAGCGCCCGGCGCGGCTCCTACCCCGCGCCTGCTGAGCGAGTGGGGCTCGGCCCGAGGCCCCAGCCACTTTAAAGGGCTCGTTTCTCCCCTACCCTTCCATCCTGGGACGCCGCTTGAGTCGCGTTTGTTGTCACTTATTTAAAATATATCTTAAAACAAGACGCGAAATTCGGCCTCAAACTTCGAAACGTACCCTACCTGTCCTCTCCTGGCTGTTTGCGTCCGTCAGCCCCATCTCCGCTCTCTTCTTCTTCCCGCTTCCTACCCTTCCCTTGCCTTCTCTTCTTTTTCCTCCCGTCGCACTCCTTCCCCCAAATTTCCACGTTCGATGTGTGTCTTGAAATTGATTAAGTTTAAACTTTGGATTAGGGGCCTTTCTTTTGCCATATCCTGGGGCGGGGCCCTAGTATTGGGTTCAAGTAGTCAAGGGCCTTAGTAAAGTTTCCAAAAGTAAAGCATTCTGTATTATATTTCTTAAAGTGATGCGTAAGATTGAACATCAAGCCCTCCAAAACCTGGATTCGCCCCCGGCAAGCTTCAGACTTGGCCCAGGGCGCTGCGCACATCCCCGAGGACCCGCGAGCTGGCGCTTCTGCACTTCGCAAAGACAAGGTCTCCTTTCAGGGCCCTCCAAATCCCTAGATTTACGTCGCAGAGTCTGAAATAGAAAACTAACGACTAAAGGTTCTTCATCCTTGAATATCTGGTTGTAAAAGTGGCTCGCTTGGGGTGTTTTGAGGGGGGAGGTGGGGGGCTCGGTTTCCTCCACCTGTGCTGCACTTCTCCATCAGGGGGCGCCCACACCCGCCACAAAACACCCTATTCCTAGACATCTGGGTTCTGCAAGCCCTAAGCACGCCTACTGGGGGCAGATCCGAGGGAGCTCACTGCCTCTCTCGCTCCTCCCTCCTAGCCTGCCTCCGCGGACCCGGGAGGCAGGGATTTCACACTAGCCATTCATTTGTCAGCCGTGGGGGAGGGGACGCAGGAGCGAGAGAGACTGAACAGAGGCTGGGAGAGGGGAAGGGAGGCAGAGAAGATGGAGACAGAAGAGGGAGACACAAAGATGAGAAACGGGACACAGCGAAACTGTCTTTCAGTCTGTGGGTGTGCGCACGGTGCGACAGCTCTCCAGGCGTTGCGTAGATTTCTTCCCCCTCCCGCAGCATCTCCCGGGGACAAGCAGGACTTGCTGGGGCGCAGCTGGATCGGAGAGCAAATAGTTTAAGCTATGACACCGTATTTCTAACCCGCTCTCCGCTGCCTAACACACAGACCGCTCCACGCCCAGTGACACAGACAGCAAGCCGGGACAGCCCTGTGGCCCCCATATCCGCACGCACTGGGGATGTCGCCCCGTGGCGCCCACACCTCTGTAGGGTGGTGGGACGCTCCAGCCTAGGGCGTCCACCGGGGCTCCCGGCACTCGCTCTCCCTGGCCGCTGGATTAGCCAGTAAAGTTGCTCAACTAGGGCGAAGAGCTGGGAGGGTGTGGGGAGATGGAAGGAAAAGAAGGACCGCTTTAGTCGGGGCGAGAAGGCTGGTCCTAGAGGCCCCAGATTCGGGTCCCCGCACCACCTTTGTCTAGAGAGCGCTCTGAGCCCTGGTTTGCTCGTTAAGACCAGAGTGGAAGCCTCCACTTCGCTCTTCTGGGTGAGAGAAAATTTTTGCACTTCGCTGATGGTTCAAGGCAAGCTTTTCCCGCCCAGGCGCTTCCCAGACCGCCGCGGCACTCCAACAACCCCACCCCCATCCCCTGCTCCCTCCCGGCCAGCCCCTGTGCTCCGCGCGCAGGACAAAAGAACCGAGGGGCACCAGGGAGGGCCTTGACAGCCCCCAAGTCTCCAAAGAGACGCAGCCCAGGCACCCCGCACATCCCCCGGCCGGACCTCTTTCCAGACTGCTTGCGGGCGGGGGGGGGGGTCACGTCTGCCCAGGTCCCGGGTTGCTGCGGCGCGGGATCGTCCTGTCAGGAGCTGCCCTGGAGCAGCATTCCAGGAACGCCGGGCACTGACCACACACCAGGGGCCCGGAAGCCAGGTGGCCCGCACCAAGGCGGCTTCGGGGACTTGCAAGTGGACAAGTCTCGGGAGTCCCCATTCAAACTTTTGCCTCGAGCAGGTTAACAAAAAAAGCTCAAGGTGCCAGCGGTCCCTCCAGCTCTCCAGCTCAAGACCCCAATACTTTTCTAAGGATTCTCTACAATTCTCTTCCCTCCCTTCCCCCAATTCCGTTAGTCCTTCTACCCCCACCCCATTCCGGGCTTCTTTTGTCTGGATCTTTTCAGCACCACGGTCCCTCGGTATTCCTCTCTCCAAACGTCCTTCTGAAAGTTACCTGCATTTTTAAAGTGCATATATTTTCTTAACTTCGCCTTACAGCTAGTTCTCTTTGCCTTAATTAAAACCTTCTACCAATTAAAATGTACTTCGTTTTTCTAAGCTCGCTCGTTTTTGTTGGTTTTTTTTTTTCTTTCTTTCTTTCTTTTTTTTTTTTTTGTTAAAGGGGGAACAAAAGAAACGTGATTACCTTGAAAGGCGGCTTATTGCAGTTTGGGGGATAAAAATCACCGCAGCGCTGCGCGAATGGGCTCGGTGTTGCCGGGGCGGGTCACATAGGAAGCTCGGTGGCCTGGGGAAGGGTGCGGAGGGTGCGGGACGGTGCTGAAGGATGCAGGAGGATGCGGGGCTGGCCGCAGATCCCCGTCCCAGCGCCTGTCCACAGCACCTAATGTTCGCGGCTGTTGCTCCCGCCCGCCTGGAGTTCTTCCCCAGAAAGGCTCGGGGCAGCTCGCCTGCAAGTTCAAATGCGGGTTGTGACACCCATCATCATTATATCACTGTACCGTCAGCACCGAGGAGGAGACTCAGCGAGGAGGAGGAGGAGGAAGAGGAGGAGGGTTCATTCACAGGCTCCTGAAGCGCTCGGCAGCTTCAGCCACTCCTAAGAGCCCAGGCTTGGAAAGCAGGCAGAGGGGCGGAAAGGCAGCTCCCCGCGCCTGCGGTAGGGACCGCCTGCCTCCCTCCCCAGGCACTCCCACCTCTCGGCGTTTCTTCCTGACAAGAAGTACCAATCGGCTTGGGGACAGCAGCGCTCCCCATTCAGCGACTCACTAAGTAACATCGCGCTGTGCGCACGGAAACCACTGCCCTCCTACCCCTCCCCACCCCCACTTCCCCGCCCCCTGTGCTGCCAGTTCTGGGTTAGGGGAAAGGAGCCCCCAGGCTCTGGTGGGGCAGGCCAGCACTAGACAATTGCGCACCCTCAGTTCTTCTTGGGAGCGAATGAAACTCTGCAAAATCAGCAGAGAACTTGGTTACAGCGTGTTTACGAGGCCACAGAACCTGCCTGTCCCATCTGAGGGAAGTGTCAGGCTTGCGCCTCCAGCCAACCTGAAAGAGACACTGAGAAAACCAGATCCTTCTAAGACCTAGAGGGAAAGTGTAAGAACTGCCGTACCCGGGAACTGCCCCAAGGGGAGCCCGACGTCATAGCGCAATTTACAAAGACCCTGGTAATAAAGGCTTGGACAGGAAATTCCCCCAAGCAAATCCCCTGTCGGATTTCAACAGATTCTCTAACTCTGCCGCAAACGTACAGAAGTCTAGATTTTGCTTTCTTCCTTCTTCTTTTCCCTCAGTTTTTCAAAGTGTCCCTCATGGTAGAATATTTAATAATTTTTCTGAGTAACAGAGACTCCTTGGATGTACCAATCCCCTTCCTTGTGGTCAGGAAATGGGACCATAATCTTTCTTGAGTTTTTGTGATTTTTGTTTTCAGCCAGGCTGACCAACTATGTAAACAACATCAACACAAGGAAGAGTCCCCTGCATTGTGTTACAAAAGGTTTCCTATAGGACCTTAGAGAGCAAAGGGTCAACCAGTTGACACAAAGGATTTCTCCCTCTTAGAAAAGAGGGACTTTGTATTTTCCTTTTCTTTGAAGTCAAGTATGAGTTTATACAATGGGAACAAAATAAGTCCAAGGTGCACATCAGTTTCAACATGGATACTGGAGTGGACAGCAAATTTTTCTTTCTACACAAACATGGAAGTATCCTCATGATTATTCTCTCTGAAGTCTCTACTTAGAAAATTATATCAAATACAACAGTGATGATTAAAGAAAAAAGTCCAGTTTCACTCTGAATTTCTTTGAGTGGGTTGGCTTTAGACTCATACTTTAAAACTTGTAGAAGCCTAGACTTCTGTGCACGCACATTTATAATGTTTCTTTTCTAAGTTTCTTTTGCAAGTTGTATGCATTCTGCATGATGCTAGATTTTAAGTTATAGACAGGTAGAAGTTTTGCTGGGAGAATTTCAGCCCTCAAAATGTGTGCTTTCCATTTCTCATTATTTATTTATTTATCAGCTCACTACAGTGAATAACATAACTATTAACTACAGGATTTAGGAATCAATTTTTTTGTTTGTTTTACAATTATTTTTTTATTCTTACTATAGTTTTTATACCACCGTTCTTAACATTGAAGTTCTATTTCATTAAGTATTTAGAATAACAGAGTCACAGAACAGAATCAGATTTCAACCTTTACATTTAGCAGATAAGCAAACTAAAGCTCAGAAAGTGATTTTTCCTAAAGTCAGACAATTAACAGCAGAGCTATTACCAGAACACAACTCTTGACTCCAGGTCCAGTGGTCTTTCCAGCACTCCTCCTAGCAACTTTTTTTAAAGATTTTATTTATTTGACAGAGAAAGACACAGAGAGAGAGGGAACACAAGCAGGGGAAGTGGGAGAGGGAGAAGCAGGCTTCCGGCCAAGCAGGGAGCCCAAAGCGGGCTAGATCCCAGGGTCCTGGGATCATGACCTGAGCTTAAGGCACACGCTTTAATGACTGAGCCACCCAGGTGCCCCTCCTAGCAACTTTATAAACAAGATCACTTCACTCAAAAAGGGAGAAAACTCCTTATCGAAATTTATACTCCAGGTATTAGGACAGACCTTTCTCTGAGACACCTCAAAGTATATATTATTGTTCTCATTCTTAAATTTGAGTAAACCTAGTTGAGTTCCAAAGAGTTTAAATGTCTTGCCTGTGGCTACTTTCTAAGTGGTACATCTGCCAATCTGAAAAGCTTATTATCTTTCCATTACCCTGCTCTCCCTTCATAATACAGTTAAGTAAAACATTTCTGCAAAGGAGACCTAAGGCGGAAGAAAGCAACTAATAGCAGATTAATAACCATTTTTAAGGAAATGTTAATATTTAACAGTCCCTGTAAATAATGCCAACTTTACATGATGAAACATGATGAAAAATAAGGGTCAGAGACTACGTACATCCTGAGATATTTTCCTTTATCTTCCCAAATGTGTTTCTCTAGCCCTCTAATGTTTATAGTCCCTTATAATGTCCACGGACATTACAACTCTTGACAGAGCAGTTCTATAGGGCAAAGGCACTTTCTCAGGCAGACTTCACTAGTCAGAACATGGACAATTCTGAACAGCTTTATACCGCATGCCTTTTCTTTACCTCGGCTTGTAACATTATTTAGAAAATTAAACACTCCTGCAGGCTGCCAAATAAGCAAAATGAAACGACACCCCCAAATATCAGCTTGCTTTCTCTAATTTCCCTATAATAGGGAATAAAAAGGAAAGTATACAAGGTACATTCAGAATAGACTCTATAGATGTATTATTTCCATTTAACTGTCCTTGAGGACTTCTCCCTCTCTCTCTCTTTCTCCCTCTCCCTCCCTGCCTCTCTCTCCCTGTGTCTCTCTTTCTCTCTTCATGAAGACAAAATGAATGACAAAGCAGTTATTTCTGATTCTCCCACGTTTTAAAAATTATCACAAGGTTTTGAATGGGAAAGTATATTTTTGTAACCTTTATAACTAAAACTACTTTGCCCATTACACTCAAGTCTGAATCAAACAGTAACTAAAATCTCATTCTATGTATCCCCCTTTAAATCATGTCCTTATACTGGGGATATTCTGTATGTAAACTCCATAGTCCCAGGTATCGATAAAGCAAGATCTTCATTCCTAGTGCAGGTGTCTACAAGAAACCAGAAGCCAGAAGCTGCGTGCCTTGCTTCGTTGCCTTGATCTTGTCTTCAGGAACTTGGCAGGAGTCAGGGGCAGTCAGCCAATGACTGGACAAGAAAGGTGTAGCTGGCAGGTGGGTGTCCAGGGAATTTCATTATCTTCATCTGAACCTCCTTCTGAGCTTTAGGATCACATTTCACGTCTTCTTTTTTAGTGATCAGGTGAAGTGTTCTTAGACATGGTATCATCTTTTGCTGCACTAGGGATGACAAGGTTCCAGTCCCACCCACATGCAGAAAATAGGTTCACATTTCAAGTCCCTGATCTGGCCGATCCTAGGCACAATGAAGCAAATATCCTCTGTGGATGGTGAAAAAAATGTGTGGTTAAAAAATGTACCTTTAATGAATTCCACAGTGCCTAGAAAAAGGAATCCAACCTCTAAAATTGCTTCATTATTATTTTTTTTAATAGGTTAGGGACTGATATTTTATCCAACACTTTAAGTCCTCTTTGGTTTTCTAGGAAATGCAGAAGTAATATGAGGTCTTTTGCCTTCCTTAAAAAAGAAAAGAAACTCTACAAAAGGCAAAGTGATGGTGGCAATCTTATTACTCTTTAGCCTGAAGTATATAAATTACTCAGAAAAATTAAACACAGACAAATACCTTCAGAAAGCCATGAAAAATTTGATTTTTCCCAGAGCAAGACTTTGCTCCCCAACCCCCAAATCAAAATGTTACAGTAAAATGTTTCTTTCAGTAAAAGTTTTTTTTCCTTCTTTGCTGTAAATGTCCTGTTCATGGTTGGGCAGATTATTCCAGAACTTAACTGGAAGACCATCTACATCACGACGGAACTATGCAAGCAAAAGCCAAGTTCCAACATGGAGTGATGGGAAAGGCTGGGCTGCCCAGAGGATGACTTCATTAGGGAGCAGAGAAGTTCTCTGAGCCGGTCCACAGGGCAGCCAAATGGCTCAGCGCATCTGCGCTCGCCCCCAGGAAAGCTGTTCGGAGCACAGTATCCAAAATGCCATCACGTTTATAAAGAAAAAGATTAAGACGTAAATGAAGCAGTCCAACTAAATTGAATCAGAGATAGTATCGACCTTACTCCCCTCCTTAGTCACTTTCTCAAACTCTTTTCTTCCCCTCCTACAGCCTGAGAAATATAGGTCACTTCTTATAAAGCATTTGTCTCACTGAACCAAGATGAACTGAAGGATTTGGTTTCTGAACACAAGGAAGCGGTAGAGATCTTTTTTTTTTTAAGATTTTATTTATTTATTTGAGAGAGAGAATGAGAGAGAGAGAGAGAGCACATGAGAGGGGGGAGGGTCAGAGGGAGAAGCAGACTCCCTACTGAGCATGGAGCCTGATACAGGGCTCATCTCGCAACCCTGAGATTACAACCTGAACTGAAACCAAGAATCAGATGCTTAACTGACTATGCCACCCAGGTGCCCCTGGATTATTCTTTTTAAAACAAAGCTTCATATTACTCTACCACCCAACTAATAATAATAACAATAATCTAACATTATTATTTTCTTACATGCTAAGCAATGTCCTTAATGTTTTACACTGACTTTTTCATTTAGATCATCTTTTTTAAAAATACTGAGATCTTTATTGATATTCATACTTTAAAATCTTTTTTTTTAAGATTTTATTTATTTATTTGAGAGAGAGAATGAGAGAGAGAGAGAGAGCACATGAGAGGGGGGAGGGTCAGAGGGAGAAGCAGACTCCCCGCCGAGCAGGGAGCCCGATGCGGGACTCGATCCCGGGACTCCAGGATGATGACCTGAGCCGAAGGCAGTCGCTCAACCAACTGAGCCACCCAGGCGCCCAAGAGATCTTATAATCTATGCTGTAGGGCTGAGAACAACGCAGAGGTTTTCTTAAGAGGCAAAACTTCTGCAGTTGCTGTTTTTTTTTCAGTGAGTACCAGCTTCCATTTATTTAATCGGAGTACAACCGGACCCAGAGACAAGAAATTTGATGAAAGCTCTATGGATGGTGCAAAAAGCCACCACAGCATCATTAGTGTCTCTGGTGAGCAAAGGTGGAAAGCAAGACAGGAAACAAAGGAAGTTCGACGTAGTGAGAAGAACGTTTGACGAACTCCAGTATAGGTATCAGAACAAGACACAGAAGTAACAGGCAGTCATTCCATTTTAGTTTTTTCAGCAAAAAGAATTGCAGGACAAGTTGAATGCCAGGGACTTTAGGCTTTTGTCAAAAAATATGAATGATCCCATTTTAACCCTGCAATTCAAAGGACATTAAATATTGCTATAGCTCATCAAGAAAAAAGAAGAGAAGAATATCTATAAGATGCAGCAAATACTTATCACAAACAGACTGCTCTCAATTTCATTTCTATTTTCTTTGTTCAATCCAACAAGCATTTACCGAGCACTGTTAATGTGTACTGTTTTAGACCTTAGGCATTCAGGCATTATTCAAAAGGTAAGGATTGCTTCTCAGCCTAAAGAAGTTTCTAATCTCTATAGAAAAAATTAATTTATTGGAGTAGCCAAGGTTATTATTTATCTATGTAATGACTAATGAATTTAAAGGGAAAAAAGTGTGTGTGTGTGTGTGTGTGTGTGTGTCCATTGGCTGGTCTAATCAGCCATCTTTTAAAAACATGTCACTGATTACAAATGGATCAGGAGAGAATGATAGCTCAACAAATCTCCTTTACTGGAAAATCACTTGCATGCACATATTCTACTGACATTGAGTCCAGGCATTAATCTTGTTGTATATGAAGAGATTGTGTTTCTTATTTTTCCACAATAAAAATAGCTCAGTAGATGTCATGTACTCAGGGTTCATTTTAAGTTTTTGAAGGTCTTCTAGAGTTGATAAATCAAACCAAAGTTGAATGGTGGAAGGAAAGCATTAAATGTCATCCTAACAAGAAAGGAAGGTCAGGGAAATTGATCACACCAAGGACATTAGGGTCTCTGGCTGCTGGACATGAGTATCAAATGTAGGCATTAGAAAACAAGAGAAAAGAATAGGCACTAAAAATTCTTCTTCTTAGTCATCACAAAGCTGAAATAATTTGATTTTAAATATTGTATTGAATTTATAGGCTTCCCTCAAAAATGCAGTTGAGAATGTGTAATCGCCCTTCCTATCCCCATTTCTGCAACTCTTTGGGGGAACTTTTGTCTATTTCTCTCTGGTGGTAGTTACCTGTGACTGCCTCCTCTCCCCATATCATTTCACACAATATCTCTCTCCAGCTTTATTGAGATATAAATCACATAGAGCATTATGTAAGTTGAAGGTGTACAATGTGATGACTTGATATATGTGCATACTGTGAAATGGTTACCCCAGTAAGGTTGGTTAACACATCTTTTACCTGCATAATTATCATTTTGTTGCTGTTGTTCTGGTGAGAACATTAAAGCTCTACTCCCATAGAGACTTTCAAGTATACAATACAGTATTGTTAACTGTAGTCACCGCTCTGTACATTAGATTCCCAGAACTTACTCGTCTTATAACTGAAAGTTTGTAGCCTTTGACCAACATCTCCCCATTTCCCCCATCCTTTAGGCTCAGGCAACCACCATTTTACTCTCAACATGATAAAAGGCTGGCCATATATGACAAGCCCACAGCTAACATCACACTCCATGGTGAAAGGTGGAAAGCTTTTTCTCTAAGGTCAGGTGTCCACTTTTACCACTCTTATTCAACACAGTACTGGATGTCCTATCCAGAGCAATTAGTCAAGAAAGAGAAATAAAAGGCATGCAAATCAGAAAGAGAGAAGAAAAACTGTCCCTGTTTGTTGATGACATGACCTTGTATATAGAAAATCCTAAATACTTCATTACGAAACTGTTAGACCTAATAAAGGAATTCAGTAAAGTTTCAGTAAAAATCAACATACAACAATCAGTTGCATTTCTATCTAATAACAGTCACCTGCGAAAGAAATAAAGAAAACAATCCACGTACAGTAGCATCAAAAACAATAAAATACTTAGGTATAAATTTAACCAAGGAAGTGAAAGAACTAGGCACTGAAAACTGTAAGACACTGAGGAAAAAAAGTTGAAGATGCCATAAATAAATGGAAATATATCCGGAAAAGTTAATATTGTGAAAATGTCCCTACTACCCAAAGCTATCTATAGATTCTATGCAATCCCTACCAAAATTCCAATGGCGTTTTCCACAGAAATTTAAAAGGAAAAACAAAAAAAGCACCTATCTATCTTAGTTTGGGTTCCCACAGAGGCAAGCCCTGAGGCCAGGATTCAAATGCAAGCAGTTCATTTAGGAGGCAAGACCAAGCAACATCTATAAAGAAGGCATGAGACAGGGAAGGAAAGGAGGCTAGTGGGGGACGCACTTCAAGCAGGCTGTCACTATAGGCAGTTAGAGCTTAATCCCACTGGGGACTGTTGAGAAAGAGTAGAGAATGTGCACCGCAGAGCTATCCCTTCTGGGCTATTTATATACTTGTTGTTGGTGAGGGCTTTTCCAAGGGGTGTTAATCTCCTGCCACTTGGGTATATGTGCCAGCCGCCTGGGCTCTGGTGGCCAGCGAAGGCTCTCGGGCTAAAAGATCCAGGGCTTGTGATGGGAAACTGGGCCAGCCTGCATGGAAATGATAGAGGTAAGGGGATGCAGGTGGGGTACCAATCACATCTGCTATAATTCTCAATACTCTAATCACCACTTGGCTGGCTAGAAAGGCAGGACTGGCAACAATAGGTTTCCTGCCTTGGTTGGGGCAAGATGAGGCTGCAAGTTTTAAGGTATCAGGGAGGAGTGTGAATCCAGCCACGGCTCCTTCGGTGTAGGCCATGCTCCCCACGCCGGGATCACATCACAGCTACTTGGTCACACCCAGGGCTGCCTCATTAGCAGGATCCCTAGTCTAAATCTCAGTGTCTCTTCTCCCTCTGACAGATCTAGCTTGTAAATTCACCTAATGAGGACTTCCTCTTACTTTCAACATGTCATCACTGATGGAAGCTGTGCGAGAGTAGGGTCTTTATGTGTCCGGTTCACATTCTCACACAGCTCCTTAGCACAGTGCCTAGCCCGTAGGAGGTGCTCAACAGATATGCGTTAATAGACGTGGAATGGATACATCTGTTGATTATGTCCTATGTCCTAAGGACTATCATTAAAGAATAGAAATGAAAATAGGAATAAAACATACTCTCTGCCTCAAGAAACAGTGAAAACTCAAATGATTCACAAAGGCCATGAGGACACCACAAAAGAGTGAAGTAGGCAGAGAAGTAAACAAGAGAAAATGGTAAGACGTTTGGAAGCAAGGGAGCCTTGTCAATCGGAATGTGGGACTGTTGA